GCTGGGTGAACTTGGAACGCGTATTCGCTGGCCGTCTATTCTATCGGCATTCCAGTTGCTCCACCGTGTTCAGTGTGATTCAGGGCTACCGGAGAACAGGGTCGACGAACCATATTTCGGAGCGGAAATGTCCTTCCAGCGAGAACAGTTAACAACTACCACCGATCCATCATCTGCGGTTCATGGGGTTGTACGAAAGCTTCTACACTCGATTCCATCCCACTCAGGGCTCGACTCTTTGACATATGACACTGGTCTTCTCGAACTTCGTCCGACGTCAACGGTTTGAGGGTCATCTTCTTCCCGCCGTGCTCCCAGGTGTAGAAATTCGTTCGACCGTGATGGGATTCTTTACGGTCAAATTACCACGATCTCCCTAAGACCAAGTGGGCTGCCTGCATCGGGATAACGTCGAAAAGCATTTCGTCACGATACTTGCCGATCGAAAAATGAATTTTCACCTGTTTGTTCACCTTAATTGCAACGTGGTCACTGAGCCAATGAAGAGAATATGGTTCAGCCCGGGGAATCATAGCTAATCCGAGTCTCTTCACTACGTCAAGACTCGCCACATTCGCGCAACTTCCACCGTCAATAATCACTGTCAAATTTTTCGCGTTAACCTGACAGCGAGTGTGAAAGAGATTGTTCCTTTGGTCCACTTCAGATGGCTCCTGCTCTGTGCTCGTCATTGCTCGCTAAATTATAAACAAAGCTCCCTTGAATGCCTTCATCTCTTCTCCTTTCGAGTCGCCTGCAATCTTTTCCTCGGTCTCCTCTTCATTGTTAGAACAGTATTGACCATCTCGGAGTACCAAAACATTTTGATTAGCGCATTGATGCGATTTATGGCCATAGCCATGGCATTTGAAGAATCTAATGCTGACACTAGAGGCTCCTTGTCGCTCCTAGGTTGTTGGAGGAGTTTGACTCGCACGTTTGCTGGGCAATTCCGGTTTGAAGTCAGGTTCAGGGATATGTTTGCTTGCTGGAGTAAATCGCGTGCTGGAACCTTGCTTCAACTGCTTCTCGACCTTCACAACAAGCTGCGCAACGTTTCAATGTCCACAAATGGAAATAGCTCTACTTGGTTCTTGATGTCCCTGTTTAGACCCTACAAAAATCGACTAATGGTAGCCTCCTTGTCCTCGTGCATGTCAGCTTGGATCATGAGAAGCTCCATCTCCCTAAAGAACTCTTTCATGCCTCGACTGCCTAGGCGAAGAAGCTGCAAGCTATCATGCAGTTGTCTTTGATAATATGAGGGCACAAAACACTCCCTCATCAACGTTCTCATCTCCATCCACATCGCGACTGGGGGTAAGCCGACTCGACGTCTCTTGATGCTCAATTGTTCCCACCAAGCAACAACGTAGCTCCCAAATTCGTAGGTTGCTAGTTGGACCTTCTATCTCTCGGTGTAATTGTGGCAGTCGAAGAACAAAATAACTTTGCGCTCCCAGTCCAAGTTTTCTGTCGGGTCGCGCACGTGAAGATCACAGCTCCCGAAGAGAGCTTCAACACCAACGGGATCGACATCTTAGCCTCCAACCGCCTCTACATCCATGACAGTTTCATTGCGACCGGCGATGACTGCGTCGCGATCAACGAGTTTTCTTCCTACATAAACATCTCTCGCGTCATGTGTGGGCCCGAACACGGGATCAACATCGGCAGCCTCGGGAAAGACGGCGCCTACGAGACCGTGGAGGAAGTCCATGTCGCGGATTGCACCTTTACGGGCACGATGAACGGGGCAAGAATCAAGACGTGGAAGGCACGTATAAGAAAGCCCTAATAATTTTTTAAATTTCACATTGAAAAAGAATCTAATGCGCGATTTTTTCTTGTTTGATTCTAGTACAGGGAGGGAGAGGGTACGCGAGGAAGATAAGTTTCGAGGGGATAAGGCTGATCAACGTGGGGAATCCTATCATCATCGACCAAACGTATGTGAACTGAATGGCGGGGACTATGGGTGGTGAGGTGGAGGATGATTCTTTGTTGTCGTCGGGTGACGTGGAGATAAGCGACGTGACGTATAGGGAAATGTCCGGGTCGTCGTCGGACGCGAGGGCGGTGTATTTCAACTGCGGGAGTGGAGCTAGGTGCAGAGACATTGTGGTGGAGGATGTGCAGATGGGTTCTTTCGTTCTGGGGGGAGGGGGAAGCCATTGTTTGCGGTCCGCAATAACGCTCATGGGACTTCCAGTGCGGATCGCTCGCCTAGGGTTCCTTGCCTGCTTCTCTGATCAATTTTATTCGGCTTAGAAATAAGGCTGAACCCTTTTTTGTTGGGTTCTATAGCGTAGGGTACGTTGTCCACCATGATAGATGAAATTTTTGGGTGAGGATAGTGAAATAGCTAGCTAGGCAACGGTGATAATATAATTATGTAGTGTTTCATTAGAGTGTCAATGTTAATCAATAAGCAAAAGACAACGAATTATCATTATAGTTTATTACTAGCTTGTTTTTGTTTATGTGTAGAAAAGCCACATAACAGTTTCATTTTTACCGTCTGCGACTGCGCTTAATCCCACCCTAGACAATTGAAATTCCCGATATAAAATTATTTTATCTAAATTTTGTTCTGCCAAATGGATCTGTTAAAATTTAGATAATCAGCCAGATTTAGCATCTCGAAAATATGCTCTATATAGACTTTCAAAAAAAAAAGCTGTCTAATCTTTGTTGTGCTAACAAAATGGGGTTGTGTGGTCGCTCCTAACTGTAAGGTCATCTATGAGTTCGATTGTAGTACAATTTTACTAATCCCAACTTTCGGGCAAGACATTTTTCATTTATAAGGAATAATAGGATCACCAAGGAAAAATTGGTAAACCTGTGCATTTTCTGTTCAATCTAAACTTTTGTATCTATACTTACCTTTTAAAAGTTTACCAAAATTCCAGACCTGGCTGAATTCCTGGATGTAACTACCTTTTTGCCGAATCAATATATGATTATCTTTTGTTAAAAAAAAAGTTTACCAAAACTTAGAATTCGCCAAAAACAACTTATGAGGTGTTCTTATTAATTACCTTGAATATATATCTCTCATTATATTTATAAGATCTTGTATTTGTGGCAATTTTGGCGAATCAAAAGGGTATAATTAAGTTGTCTCCTATTTACAATTCTATCCCATTTAGTATCCAATTAAAAAAAAATCATGAGTAATGTCTATTTTTTATCCAAACATTTATCAGATTATTTTATATTATCCAAATTTATCGAAATACTAAGAATTAGTCAAATGTTAACTTTCAATTAACAATTTTGTTAGTAATATTGACTTGACAATATGATATTGACTTTGAAGAGACACATGAAGGTCAACATTCCAAAATTTTAGTATTTTAATTAATAAAAGAGTTACAAAATTATTAATGATAACGTAAAATTGGGGATGAAATCCCAAAATACATATGTTTTTAATAAGAATTCCCAAAATACACACGTTATAAAAAAAATTCCAAAAATACACATGTTTGGGCATCGCCGCTGTTGTCAACCGCAGTGAATGCATTCACCGCGGGAGACCAAAGCGGTGAATGCATCACCGCGGTTGACGGTCGCGGTGAATGCTTGACGTAACACTGAAACTTCAAACAAACGTAACTTTGCGCTCGGTTATCCGATTGTAGGGATTTTTTTTTTATTTCGTATAACTTTTCAAGATCTTTCAATCTGCAACAAGACTTAATCTCAAGAAAATGTTGTTTGTTACCCCGAACGAGCAATTTTTCGATTTTGCCAAACTTTGGAAGGCCATAACTTTTAGCTTCTCAATCCGAACGTCGTAAAGTTTTTTTTTGATTGCACATAACCTTTTAAGAAATACAACTTTTACTAGGAAAGAAAATATTTTTGGGTATACGGGATTTTGGCAATAACTTTGCCTTTACTTTTCACAAATCCTCATACTTTCCAAAATTATGGTTATAATCAAAGTTGTAGTCTTTCAAAAGTTATGCCAAATCTAAAAAAGTTTCATGACATTCGGATTGTGGAGCACAAAGTTATGGTCTTCCAAAGTATGTCAAAATCGAAAAATTGTTCGTTCGAGGTAGCAAACGAATTTTTTTTTTGGTATGAAGGCTTATTGGAGATTGAAAGATCTTGAGAAGTTATGTGGAATAAAAAAAATTGCTACAATCGGATAACCGAACACAAAGTTACGTTTGTTTGAAGTTTTAGTGTTACGTCAGACATTCACCGTGGTGATGCATTCACCGCTTTGGTCTACCGCGGTGAATGCATTCACTACGATTGACAACAGCGGTGATGCCCAAACATGTGTATTTCACTATTTTGGGAATTTGTTTTTATAACGTGTGTATCTTGAGAATTTATTTTAAAAACATATGTATTTTAGGATTTTTTCGGTAAAAATGGCTAATATCTTGATGCCTTACGAAAGATTTTGTTAGTAATATTGACTTGACAATATGATATTGACTTGGAAGAGACACATGAAGGTCAATATTCCAAAAAATTTGTATTTTAATTAAGAAAAGAGTTACAAAATTATTAACGATAACGTAAAAATTACTAATATTTTGATGGATTACGAAAGATTTGACCAATTAATAGCATTTTAATAGGATTGAATAATATAAAAGAATCTGAAAAATATTTGAATAAAAAATAGACATTATCAAAAAATCATATCTGTTAAGTGACGAAAAAGGAGAATAAAAAAAGCAGAGCCGCCGTATGTGGGAATCGAACCCACGTAAAGGAGAATAAAAAAGATTTGACCAATTAATAGCATTTTAATAGGATTGAAATAATATAAAAGAATCTGAAAAATATTTGAATAAAAAATAGACATTATCGAAAAATCATATCTGTTAAGTGACCCACGTAAAGGAGAATAAAAAAGCAGACCCAACCCACGTAAAGGAGAATAAAAAATAAAAAAGATTTGACCAATTAATAGCATTTTAATAGGATTGAAATAATATAAAAGAATCTGAAAAATATTTGAATAAACAATAGACATTATCGAAAAATCATATCTGTTAAGTGACCCACGTAAAGGAGAATAAAAAAGCAGACACGCCGTCTGTGGGAATCGAACCCACGACCACGTGGTTAAAAGCCACGCGCTCTACCGGCTGAGCTAAGACGGCTATATGCTTTGCATATTGGAAGAGTTTTATTTAATATTTAAACACACTGCAGGCTGCAGCGACCTCTTAGCAAAAGTGACTTTGTCTGGAAAACTATCTTTTTCTGCTCGAGCTGCTCTTCTATGTTGGGCAGTTTAACGGACTGAAGTAGAGGACCGGAGAAGCTGCCTACTCGCGGAGTAAGGTAGGCCAGTAGGGAGGAAGTGAAAATGGAGAGCAGCGAAGAAGAAGATGATTTTCCTTCCATAGAAACCATCACTCCTCAGTCCAAGATCGACTCCCTCTATCAATCCCGCACTGAAAAGGTTCGTCCTTCGTTTCATCAGCTAGTTCCCGGGTCTCTACTTGTTTCCTTAAGTTAGATTTTATGCTTCAATTCTGGCACCAAAACAATGCTTCAACTTCTGGTCTGCTTTCGTCCTTCGAATCTGGGTTCTCTGCAATTGTCGAGTTCGCTTTCAGTTCTCTGCTGTCTGGGCTCTCTTCCTGGGAGCTAGCTAGAATCTCGGCCTTTGCCACGGCATTGTGAAGGTTGGTTGTGGGAAAGCTGCTTTCACTAACCTTGGTTGAGTAAAGCTTGGTCCCGTTTTCTCTCAAATTAGAAGAAATTCTGTTTCTGGGTGCTTATGAGCATTAAGAGACGAGCAGGCGCAGGTGCATTGACCTGTGTCTTTTAAACTGTATTCGAGGTAGTTGGATAGCAAGTCACTGAGATATTGGAGTTCCGTTGGTGTTAAATGTTTGAAGATGGGATTTGGAAGGGCATATTCAAATCAGTTTTGACTTGGGTTTTCTGTACTGAAACACCTGGCTATATGTATACTTGCAGGGTATCCGAAAGCTTTGTTGCGAGCTCTTGGATTTGAAGGATGCAGTTGAAAATCTGTGTGGCAATATGCAAACAAAGTACTTGGCTTTCTTGAGGTAATATATTGAATTTAGCTGTGGAAAATGATGAGGAAGCAGAACTTTGCATTATTGCCGATACAGATATGTGATGCAGCTGGGTCTCTTAAAGGACTGCTTATTGTTGATTTCTTCTTCCTTGTTTGTGGAATCTGACCTGCTGAGATGGTATTTAAAAATTTATGTCGTGAAAATGTGATCTAAGTTCTTATTGTGTCTCAGAATGTCAGACGAAGTAGTGGAGATGGAGCATGAATTGGTTGAACTGCGTAAGCATATTTCTGGCCAGGGGATTCTTGTGCAAGATTTGATGACAGGTGTTTGCCGCGAAATAGAAGACTGGAATGTTATTGACGGCAACAATGCCGACTCTCAGCAAGATGACGAACTTGAAGACATGTTACGGACTGAAGCAGACAATCCTCAGACGCTTTTCCTGGAGAATGTTGATATTCTTTTGGCTGAACATAAGGTGGAAGAAGCATTGGAGGCTTTAATGGGCGAGGAGAAAAGTTCTCTAGAACTGAAGGGCTTGACAGATACTTCGCCAACTGAAGAATCAACTTACAAATCGGCATTTCTGAAGAGGAAGTCAACTCTTGTGGAACAGCTAACTGAGATTGTTCAACATCCATCTGCTAGCACTGTGGAAATGAAGAAAGCGTTAGCTGCTTTAATCAAACTTGGGAAAGGTCCTTTCGCTCATCAAATCCTTCTTGAACTATATCGATCACGCCTCCACAAGAACATTGAGGTGTTCTTACCTTCATGCTCAGTGTGCCCCAAGACCTTCCCCGGGACACTTTGTAAACTTGTTTTCTCTTCTATCTCAACGGCTACAAAAGAATCTATCCTCATATTTGGTGATGATCCTTTATATACTAACAGAGTTGTACAATGGGCTGAGTGGGAAATTGAATCGTTTGTGCGGCTGGTGAAGGATAATGCACCTTCCCCAGAGACAATTTTAGCTTTAGGTGCTGCTAGTAACTATATTCAGGCTAGTCTTGCATTTTGTTCAATGTTGGAGCCACAGGGTCTTAAACTATCAAAGCTTCTTCTAGTTCTATTGCGTCCATACATTGAAGAAGTCTTAGAGTTGAACTTTAGACGTGCAAGAAGGCTAATTCTTGATGTGACAGAACCTGATGAGAGCTCTGAACTATCGCCTCACCTTGTGTCACCATTATCAGCTTTTGTAGCATCCTCAGATATTGTGCTTGTTGACAGTGGAATAAGATTTATGGACATAATTGAGGTAAGTTGTTGATCTTTAATGGTTCTCTTGCTGCTTGTGATGGTGGCCTCCCTTGGCACATAATTGATGGGATTTGTTAAGTCATTTTGTTTTCAATATGTCTGCTTTGAGCGCGCTTTGTTCACTTCTGATGCTGTTACCTGTGGAATTTTTATGCTTGTATCATGCATATGATAGTATTCAATAGTTATGAGTTCCTAGTTCATGTGATCTACTCTTCTGCTATAGTGTTGACTGATTTATGTAATATAATTTTCTAGCAAAATGATTTTTACAGGACATACTTGTTCAGTTGACTCCTCCGGTTGTCATGCATTTTGGAGGAAGTGTGTTAATGAGAATATCACAGCTATTTGGCAAATACATGGATGTGCTCATTAAATCTCTGCCAGGACCCTCCGATGATGACAATCTTACAGAACTGAAGGAAGTCATACAATTCAGAGCAGAGACAGATGCAGAACAACTTGCATTGTTGGGAATGGCATTCACTATTCTTGATGAGCTGTTACCTCATTCTGTGAAAACTGTGTGGAGTCTGAATAAAGAAGGGAAGGAATCTAAAGATGGCAATGCTGCTGGACCTTCTGCTTCTGCCATTACCGGGGAGTTAAAGGACTGGAAGCGACAACTGCAGCACTCATTTGACAAGCTTAAGGATCATTTCTGTCGCCAGTATGTTCTGAGTTTTATCTATTCAAGAGAAGGGAAGACACGACTTAATGCACAAATCTACCTCGATGGCGACAGAGATGATTTAATTTGGAGCTCGGATCCTCTGCCTTCATTGCCATTTCAGGTTTTATCTTCGTTGACCCTTTGCTGAATGTTATATGGATTTACTCGTTATAGGCATGCCTTTTTTATGTATTAGGTAACCCATCGGTTTTGGATGATAGGGATGAGTGCAGTCTGTTAAATTAACTTTCACCTAGGTGGAGTATAATGTTGGACACTATCTTTTTCTGTTGGAAGCTTGGTCTGACAAGATCTGTGGACTTCCATTGCAGGCACTGTTTGCAAAGCTGCAGCAGTTTGCAACTGTGGCAGGAGATGTATTACTTGGGAAAGAGAAAATACAGAAACTCTTGCTTGCTCGGCTCACTGAAACAGTAGTAATGTGGCTTTCTGATGAACAGGAATTTTGGGGTACATTCGAAGATGTCGCTGTTCCAATCAAAGCATTAGGGTTGCAGCAGGTAATTGTGATATGCAGTCGTTTACGCTTGCACTGAGCAATCGCCATTTGTTCCAAAATATTGAATGTTTTCTCCACATGGCCTGGCTTGCAGCTACTTCTTGATATGCATTTCACAGTGGAACTTGCACGCTTCGCTGGTTACCCATCTAGGCAAGTGCACCAAATCGCCTCAGCCATAATTGCTCGAGCAATCAGGACCTTCTCAGCTAGAGGAATCGACCCACAAAGGTACTACTAATCACCAAAGCACCTGGCCTATCACCTTCTATATCCTTAAGAGTTTATATTACTGAGTTTGTGGCTTCAACTTTCTGTGAGAACAGTGCCCTGCCAGAGGATGAATGGTTTGTTGAGACTGCAAAGTCGGCCATCAACAAGCTCCTCGCTGGGTCGGAGTCTGAGGTTGACGAGGATGATGATGATGGACACATCATTTCTCACGGGGATAGCATCTCAGACTCTGAGGATACTGCTTCTTCCCTTTCATCCGTAGAATCCACAGAATCATTTGTATCGGCAAGTATGGGTGAAACTGAGAGTGCTGGGGATCTGACTGATCCTGAAGCTTGAAGATATATCAATGCAGCCAAGGTTTGCTTTGTTTTGTGCCTCCCCGTGCAACTTGAGTTCTGAAATGTGACATGTTCATATGGCAGCTTCTGTTGTTATTGTTAATCAGTGTACCAATTTCCTTGTATGGAGAGTAGAATAGTACTTTTGACAATAATTGATAGTGTATACTTGTGATTAGAATTATCATTGCTAAGTGCTAACTATGGATAATTTCGCCTAGATGACATTTCGGCCAATTAAAAGGTTACTAACCATGGTTTTGTTTGTCTGGAGAATAATTCTTCTCTCTCTGTCTCTCCCTCTCTGTTTTTTGTTTAATGGAAATGTCTGTCAATTTTCTAGATTAACGCCATTGATGAACTCGCAAGCTAATACGTCGTTGAAAATGGAGCAGGAACATAAAAATGGTTTCCCCATTCCCTGTTTTATTTTTCAAGTGGCCACAAGAACAGCGTAAACAAATACAACACAAAAAACCAAACGGGGATTTCACTCCCTACTCTGTAACTTGTTCCACTCTGGCACCATGGATTAGCAGGCCACCCTTCCATCTTCCAGTCCAGACTTCATACAACCCAAAGTACAGCTTCATATCAGTAGCATCAGTTGGAACAGTGACCTCCAGCTTCTCTGTCTCGAACTCTTTATCATTCTCTGGTTGATCTGACAGCTTTATCTTTTTAGCTGTGTACTTCCCCGCCTGCCCTATCTTACCCATCAAGTAAACGGAGCAGCCATTCCAACCAAAAGCCCCTTGCTTCATCTGCAGCCTGAAGGAAATTGCATACTTCTTCCCAGCCTGTATGCTGTCTTTCAATGAGGTGATGGTGCTTACTTCAAGCCAACTCACCTGCAACAGCTCAGCTGGCCTACCATCCCTGGCAATCAGACAACATACATAGAAAACCATCACTATGTTGCGCCGAGTGAAGTTAAGATGCAGGGCGGTGGGAGAATCTGTGATTTATGAAACTTACGTGGGAACATTCCAGTAGCGACCATCCTTTCCCCATACAATGCTGAATGCTCTAGGTTTAAACCACGATGATCTTGCAGCCTGAAAATCCATATATATCCCTTTAGTTAGTTTTGAAGTTCATTCATAGAAACTTGACAACTCCAAGCATAACCATGTATATATTAATCGTGTACCGAGGAAATGATCTTGTTTGGCATAACATGAAGGAATACTATACGCAAAGAAGCACGGGGAAAGAAGAGAAGCTGATTTCTAACCTCTGTGAAATCCACTTCATTTGGATCTCCCTCGTGATGTGGTTTTGCGTTCATGTTGAAAGGACAGAAATTGTTGTCCAACTAAAGCTGGAAGAACTAGAGGTGATATTAGATGTTTTACATAACCAGCCTTCCCCAGCCTCTGTGTATATATATACAAATATTCTAGGGAATGGTCTCCACTCGATATAAATAGTGGCTTACAACAAAGCACCATGCACAAGGAGCTGAAAGGGAATGATTCAAAAGCCATGCTCAAAATTCTTGACTTGAGATAGGGGAAGGCAGTTCAAGAATATACTTATCTGTCAGTGCTGCATTTCAACATCAAGGAAAGAATTGATCCGTCTTCCCCACACGGTTCCTCAAACCTCCTCCATACAATGGACTCAAATTTTACGATCTCTGTAAAGAAAAAACTATGTGCCTTCAAACTGGCCACCAGATTCAGATTCTGCAAATTGAATTCAGTGGACGGCTAAGAGTAGTCTGTCATAAGCGAACCCAACTATCCCCACATCAAGTCAGTCTCTAGAAGCTTTCAACAGCATCAACATTAAGTTCCTTTCAAGAACTCAAACTGCAAAACAGGCATAAAAGTGACAGCTAACTTCATCTCATTTACAGTTGTAACTTCCACAGCCTCCTGGTCTTGGCTTATTTCCCTACCTTGCCTACACCTTGATATAACCACTCTGCCGCGGACTGATTTCTGCATTGGCGACAGACTTAACATCGCTCAACTTTCCGCACATCAAATGAAAATGTTCTAGAACTTCAATTGGTTGGCTAGAAAAGGATCCTGCCTGTCAAGAGAATATTACCAATTACTTCACTTGGGATTGGAATTCCACTCACGCGGATGCATAATCATATTCTTCGCCACTTCTTTGATTCTTCTAACAAAGACAGCTAGAGAATGGAAAAAGGACTCTCTCTGCATTTCTCGGGGCTTTGTTCTATCCATCTAATAACAATTTTTCCAACCCGCAACGAGAAGTCAAGTTCATATCAAAACATTCATTGAAAAGATGATTGCATCACAAATCCACCATTCCTAAAATATTAGTGTAGTTCATCACACACTAACTACCAAGCAATACAGATAGAAGTAGAGAACAAAGGTGCCCCCAAAATTTTTAATCACACCCTCACAGCTTTTACTCCTTGGGAATGGGTGTGGAACCCAAGTCTTCTATTGTCACCGGCTTGTGTAGCTACAGTCAGAACAAAATCCCATAGATATGAAATCAGAAATGGAAAAGAAACGGGCAGGGGAGGAATAGAAGAAGAAACTAAAAAGGGGAAAGAACCGTGTCTATCCATCTACATGCAGAATGCAACTTTATTCTGCTCAACAGTTACCACAGACAAAAGGTGCATAAACACATAATAGCTTCACCTACAATTGTTTATACTGAAGCCAGATGTTATACTGACCCTACTTCACAAGGAAACGAGAAACGTAACTTAAGAACTCACGAAAGGGATAGCTCCGAATCCAATCAAACACGTAAATACTACATTCTGTGACGGGGAGCCAAAGTTCAAAATGAAATGACCATTGGTTTTCTGTGCCAACCTCCACGTTTATCTTATTCTACTTTTTAGCTGGATACTAGTCTCGTGGTTTGATTTAACTATTACATATACTCCATTCCAATGTTATCTTATTCTTAAAAAAGCTCATGATGTTGCAGAAAGAAAAACTTACAGCTTCTGCAACAGATAACCAATGGAGAGACCGAACAAACATATCATCTTGTGAAGGTAGTGTGTCGTGATTCCAGTAAGTTATATTCTCAAACTTAGCATTCGGCTCCCAACAATTAGAGTTGCAATCAGAAGCTTTTCTCTTGCCAAGACTTTTCTTACCCAAGACAAATCCTGCAAAGCACCCAAGACCAGAACAAAGAACCATTTACTTGTTAGCAACAAACTCAAATCTCACTCGAAGGTGCAGTATAACCCATCTCTGCGGACGTTGCAATAAAACCTTGTCTTCTGATGATGCTAAAACCGCCATTTTCTTTTTTCTCAAAAATGGGCAACGACAGAAGAAAGAACACATGTACGAACGAGAGGCAAATTTGGGTACCAGAATAACCAGGTGGAATGGGAATCGTTACGCCATGTAGCTTTCTGCCCCTGAAATACGCCTGTTGCTCTGCCAGTCCATCAACTTCTAACCCCAATTCGGCAAACCCCGAAATGACGATAAATATGCATTTTCCAAGGTGAAAAAGAGAGAAAAACAAAGAGCTATCTATGACTGGAGGGTTGCGGGGCAATACCGGTGGATTTAGGTTTGAAGTAGTCGTAAACTTCGGAAGGGCCGTCGTACTTGATGCAGCAGGGCAGTTGGTGGACCTCGCCGGTAAGGTCTGGAACTCCGGATTTCGTCCCTTGATTTTTGTTCAGACTAATGATCCCGGTGGTTCCCATCTTCAGATTCCCGTCGTCTTCCATTGATTTTCGCTTCCTTCTCCCCCGGCTCCCAACCTACCTATATTCCCTCTGCCCGCTAGCTCCGCGACTTGGGTTCTCTATTTTTCTCCATTCAATTGATAAAGCTAGAACCTTGCCATTTTCCCGCGCTTTTCAGTCTTCCCTCCAAAATTCCCCACTGGTCATTCGTCTTCCCTATATACCGTTTTGTTGTAAACCAACGGTCCCGGCGGCTAGGCGTGGGAATGTGGGTGTTTAATCCGCGAATGGATATCGATTCATCCACAAATAACCCGATTTGCACTTAATGGATGATTGATTTAAGTGGATTGCAGATTGATAAATCTTCCACCCGTACTTATGTGGGTGGGTGGTGGGTGGATTGCGGGTGTACATGGGCGTTGGGCCGTGCTTGGGCCGACACGACACGGGCACGCTTCGGGCCCATTTATTCTGTGCCGTGCTTGGCACGGCTCGTCAGTTTTCTTGCCGTGCCATGCAAGCCCATTTGTTAACTTTGCTAGGCCCGGCCCGGGCACGGTTCGAATCGTGTCGTGCCTATTCGTGCTCGTGTCATGCTCGTATTCGTGTTTAATGAAAAAGACGAAAACAAAAGAGAGAATGAAAAAGAAGGTGAAAATAGGACGAAAGAAGATAGTATTAACCGATAATGTTTGAGAAAAGTAAAAAATAAAGGGGGGAAAGAAAACTGGAAGTATAGCGAGTTAGTAATTACGTATATATCTTTATGTTAGTAATTACGTATGTTAGTAATTACGTATATATCTTTTAATTCTTTGTCCATTTTTACTTATGTTAGTAATTACGTATATATCTTTATGACATTTCTAACAACAACAAATAATTATTTTTCTACTTTTGTTTTGTAATATTTTAACGTATAATTCTTTTTATATTTATTTTCTATCAAATAAATATTATTTTTGTGCCATGTCCATTCTTATACTCAATAAAGTCTCAAAAATATTAGGCCCGACATGACCCACTTATATACCGTGTCGTGCCCGTGCTCGTGCCCGTGCCCATGAAGTTTAGGCCCGGCACGACCCATAAATTATTCGTGCTCGTGCCAGGCTGGCCCATTTATTTCGTGCTCGTGCTTATGTCGTGTTCTAACCGTATTGTGCCGTGCTAGCCGTGGGCGGCAAGCCCTGGTGCCCACGTACAATTGCGGGTCACCTGTATGACCCGCATCCTATTTTTACATGAAAAAACGTTGTTTCGTATAGAAAAGAGTATTCATCATATTTTCAAACTCCACTACAGTCTGACCATATACTTTAAAAGGTGGAGAATAAAGAATAGTTTTAACTAATATTATTGGTTTTGTGTTCTGCAATATCTATTAGATATTGGATATTGGTATGCAAATTATTGTTAATATTAATTAAATATTGGAATGCAAACTGTAAATTATTAATGGTATCAAAATCACATTATTAATACAGTTTCTTCCTCATTTGTATGTTTGATTTTTCCGGTTTATATGGAGTTTAGGGGGTTCGATTTAGGGTTTTGATATCTTTTTCTTTGATTTATGGGTAGTGAATTATTAATACAGTTTTACGAATTTGCTATGAACTTATTATAAATATTAGTCAAGTTTCTCAATGGCTAGTTGGAAAATTACTTTTGCAGGTTGACCTACGACCCAACCGCAGCCATCCGCCACCGCCACCGCCACCCACCCAACCCAACCCGCAGAGTTATGTTGGTAGATTGCGGGTCACAATTATTCCAACTCGCTAGTAAGCAGGTGGGTCGATTTGAGATCAAAACCCACCCAACCAGCCCATTGCCTACCCCTACCACTGGTCGACGACCATACCACTTGCCAAACCGGCATAATGGTAGAAATCGATTTGACAACTTGGCTTAAAACCTTCACAAATGAAGTACATTAACAGTTATCTTTAAAAACACATGGTATCGATTGGCGATTATCAAAGAAGAAGAAAAACACATGGTATCAGTGGTCTTTGCGAACTCCAAGCTCACGATCAGTTGGTTCTCATCAGCGGCGGATCTACGGGGCCGCCCCCGGGTCACGGCCCAATCCTCTCCTGAATCCGGAGCTAGTATAGTCCTTGTAAATTTTCGATTTTAGATATTCGTTTATGATCTCGTCGGATTACGTCCCAACCCTCTCTGCCTCTTTTTAAATGTAGCACATTGTCTACCTTATAGTGAATCCGCCGCTGGTTCTCATTTGAGAGAACGTGTAAGTAAGTAGTATAAAGCTCATACATAAAACTCTAATAGCAACTTGAACTATTGAAACCAATTAATTTTGGAATGTTCTTTCACTTCTATATTCATCAGCAACTTGTACGTTATCTTAAGTGCTCTACGTATATGCTAAATATGATTTATGAGTGGGTTACAATTAAAGAAACGATTGGCGTAAGTAAGCGTCGCCGGAAAATTCTTCATCTAATACTTTTCTCATTCCCATTTGGATAGCACACAGGAGAAAACCATTTAATTGTATTGGTTTCGTTGCATACTAATTACTTAAGTGTTTTTAGTTCCAACTAAATCACATAAGTCGACTTTCGGTTGTACCATTATATTTTTCATCCTTAAACTTAATGCCAGGTATCAAATTGAAATTTTCTGCATCAATTTACACAATTCTATTTTCCCTCACATTCTTCCATCTTCATTTTGATATTAGTAGCGTTCTCTTTAATTATCTTATGGCCTCCTTTATTGTTTTTGTCAAATTTTACAATTTTTTTATTTTTTTAATTTTGGTTCTAATTGAATTAAATTTTGGCTTTCTTCCAAAATAAAACAAACTCTTAAAACTTACGTGGGATGTGAAATGCAATCTTTATTTTTTTTTTTTGTTTATAATATGATTTGCATAATTGGCACATCATTATAGGCTTTCTCTAGGAGGAAAGTTTTTTAGGTGCCCTCGTATAGTTTGTTTAAATTCATATCACATAAAAACTAAAGAAGCATATTGAGATTAAATGCACAGGGATGCTTTAAAATAGATGAGCGAAGAAAAATTAAGAAACTGGTCTTAAGCGGTAAAATCGAGTGACAAAAAGAGTAAAGTAATGAGGGAATTTCAGGTGAAGTTTTATCATAGATTTGTTACTAGTGTTCTGCTAAAGAAAGACTTCCAAAGCGAAGCTCAATTTTTCGACCTAATTTCGTAGCCGAAGCCCCCATCTCCAACTCTATAAGTAAATAATTTTACAAGAGGATCGGGAGCCACAGAGCAAGAGAAGATTTTCAAAGGGCTATTGTGATTGGATTTTGACTCGAAACTATACTATAATTAAACCCCAATTAGAGTCCAAGTTTTTAAACTCTAATCGGATGTAGTATAAGGCAAGTATCTATATATCGACCCGGGCCGGTCCGTTTACCCCTACTTCGGTTGTTGAAATCATTATCTAGCGATAAAAGCTTTGGTTTAAAGGTTTGCCAATTGAAATGAAAGAAAGCAAAAGTAATTTGGTTTAAATACTCTTTTGTGGGAAAGTCACTTGGGTTTCGCTTCCCCCTAAACCGCTACCATGCTACGTGGGTTGGAACGATTGCCTTGGGCACGCTAATCGTGAACCGCAGAGGAAAGCGTATGTGGTCGGAGACCACAGTCTCGATTGCTAAACCGAGGTGAAGATGAAAGGTCGTGTCGCTCGACCTTCTCAGTTTAGACAATCGGTAATCGGATTACTTCCTCACTCAACTCTAAGGTCGGACGATTTAAACACGATTAATAGACTTGTTCAATTCAATATTGAAGATTGCCCTAACTCAACCTAGTTTAGGTGGCTTGGAAAGCGGAAGGAAAACCAACTCGATTGAGTCTCCCTTAAAAAGGGGGATTTTCCTCTCAAAACTAGGCTAAGTTGGCAAATTAGATTTCTAGCACCTAAATGCACAAACTTAGGGGTGCTAAGCACAATTATGCACAAACCCTAGGATGCTAAGCACAAAATATGCACAACCCCTAAGTTGCTAAGCACAAGAATGCAAAATAATGGTGAAAAACCTCAAACATTAAATTGAAAAATGCCCAATATCAATCATACAAACCACATACAAGTAAACTGCATGGTAATGTTTAGGGTTTCACTACACCCAAGTGGAAGGAGGACTACTCCATGGAAGAAGTGGGAAGAACAAAGGAGAAAAAGGTGGAAACCATCTTTTGGGGATGCCTCCTCTCTCCTTCAACCTTGAGTTGGGATTTCCTTGGGGAAATTTTTCCCAAAACCTCCTTTGAAGCCAAGCCCTAACCTCTTCTTGGTTCGATTTCTCTCACTAAAATGCAGAAGAAGTGTTTCTCTCACAAAAAGTGGCTCTCCCTTCTCTTTCCTTGCAGCTCAGCTTTTAAACCCGAGAGGAGCTGAGTTCACGGCCGTGAACCATCAAACGTGTCCGTGAACTCACGCCTTGCGCCAAAAGGCTCTGCACCGATCACGGCAGTTCACAGTCAACTGCTTGTGTTCACAATCTTAGTGACCGTGAACTCGCCTTGCGTCAGTAACCTTCAACTTGGCTCTGGACGCCTTGCGCTTCACGGTCTTGCACGACCGTGAACTCCTACCTTTAGCCGTGAACTTGCGTTTTTTCACCTCTTCTCCCGTTTTTGATCCTTTTCGCCACTCTTTCAACTCCGAGGCTGGTTCCACCTGTTAAATCCTGAAAAGCACTCAAACACGAAGAACCTTGCGTAAAACCAACCTCTAATGAGCAAATTTGGCACAAACATCTAAGCAAACCGGTGGCAAAATATGTGCAATTAGGCCCGAATAAGGTTTATTTAATCCTCAATGTTTATGAAAAAATATTTATTTTGTGGAGGAAGAAAGAGAAAGAAAAATGGTATGGTGCAAATTAAGTTGGAAAACTTCAATTTGATACCCACCGTTAACTTTGAGGACAGAAAATATAATGGTGCAACCGGAAGTCGACTTATGTGATTTAGTTGCAACTAAAAAAGTTTAAGTGATTAATATGCAAGAAATCCAATACTTGCGTGGTATCGAATGCAATTAAATTAACCCATACATATAACTACAGGCCCCTCGATCGAATTTCAACCGGCGGCGACGTTGGATCGAATCTAGCTTTTTTTGTGGAGATTAACAAAGGTAATTCCGTCGAATATATGCAATGCACCACGTTGGTATTTGGAATACATTACGTACTGTCCCACTACCCGTAATCCCCATAATATATTAAAGCACTAATTCTGCTTACCACCAAGACGCCAGATTGGAAGCCCAGCGCCGGAAGTTTTATATTACGGCGGCACATATGCCGATAATATATATAGTTCTTGACTTGTACTATTATTATACTTAGTTAATGATAAATATTATTCAGAAGAATAAAATCATGACGCAATTCTATATCTTACGATCTTTCACATAAAAGAAGTTATATGAGAATGACATAATGTACATGTCTTGTTGTATTTGTGTCCAATACCATTTTCACTTACAAAGGAAGAAATCAACTTATAATTCATAAGACTTCCCCAATGTTCATTACTATTATAAATGAACAAATAATTTTTTATTTTATCCTTTTGTAATAATAATGTCTAATCGGGACAAAATTTAATTAAAAGAAAATTCAATTCATGGAAGAGCACAATAACGAATTATGTAGATCGAACATTTAACTGAAGAAAATTTTGCTACTGGAAACAAATAACCTACAAACTATAGTGGAATATATTGGAACATCTGTAGTAATCCAATCTCGGTATTCTTAACATCAACAGTAAAATTGCATTTGCAATCGCAAAAGTAGTACCCACATCATAATGAAATCGAAAGATAGTAACGAATGTGGGTGGCCTAAAACATTATAACATTGTCCTCGTTAAACACGTGAGAGAGTTTGTCTAACCATTCAGTCCCTCAGTGGTTCCTAACATCACATTGACCCTTAATTCCTTAACATGGTAAAAACTAAAAACATCCGCTCCGCGTCACATGCCAATTAGCTCTTTTCTTTCTAGGGGTGGCAAATTAAATTAGCCAATCCTTGGAAAAAAGTAACATTGTACTCCTTCCTTCCACGTTGTTCCTTAGCTTCATCCATCCACTATTCTCACTTTACGCAAACTCCGAACTCCCCCAATGGAATGGAGGTCGGTTTCTTTCTTTGAAAGCCCAGCCCAGGGCAGGGCAGGTGCATCCAACGCGGGATTGCCCTGCCCTTGCCTTGCCCACTATAGTATAAATATTTGCCGACAACAATGGCATCACCAAGATCTTCCCTAAACACAATCCCAAAAAGAGAAGAGAGGCCAACAAAAAATGGGTTTTCAACTCAGAAACCACAACCGCGATGTTACTGCTCGTTCCTCATCCCCTCATTGGAAGCCCGTTGTAAGCCATTGGAATATACATAGATAGCATCCATTCTTTTTCGAATTTCGTTTTCGCTTTGTGATCGTGAAGTTGGAAATGCAGGATGGCGGCTCCTCCTCGGTGTTTCCGGACCCAAATCTTCGCGGCGCGTATAGAGTGCCCGCCAGAGCTCTCAACATAGTATGGGGGAAGGACCCGCGTTACTGGCAATGGATCCCGCTCTCAGACCACGACAAGAGGTGATTCATGAGATCGAGTTATTACTCCATCTGCTCCACGAAATCAAACTAGCTAATTTTCCACGTTTCTAAAAAAGCTGCTACCTTTTTGGTTTTTGGTTTTTGGGTTGGCAGGGGAAGTGGGTTCAAGGACGAAGTAGCAATGCTGGTTCAGGTGAACTAGATCCAGGTGACGGGGAGGTTGCCGGCGAGCTTGTTCGCGGGGAAGAAGTACGAGGTGGTGTGGGTGGTGAAGTTCAGGGTGGGCGCATTCGGGTGGCACTCTGTTCCGGTGAAGTTCAAGGTCAAGCAGAGCAACGGAGGGGAGGAGAAGGTGAGGAGCGTGGTGGTGGAGCCTTACCGGCAGAAGCATGGGGTGTGGCATGAAATCTCCGGCGGGGAGTTCACGGTGCAGGCGGCTGGTGGGGTGGTGGAGTTTGGGATGTATGAGATTGAAACCGAGTGGTGGAAGGGTTGCATGGTTCTTGCCGGCGTCAAGATTCGGCCAAAACCTTAAAAAGACCGTGTGTCTTTCTATTGTTCATAGCTCATGGCATGATGAGTTCGGTTGTGGATTTTGTAATGTAATACTTCATCTCAAGATGTTGTTAATTGATCTTCTAAAAACTCACATCTCTCTCTAACTTTACCTTTTTAAAATTTACTCTCCCTTCTCTCTAAAAAGCCTCATTTTCCAGCCTTCCATGGCTGCCGCCGGCTACTTCAGGTGACCGGCAGCAACCCAAGTTCTTCTTTTTATCGCTTTTCTTGCTTGCCTTGTTTTCGATCTTCTGGCCTTTGCTTCTGGGCTTTTCACCTTCAAGATTTCAGTCTCTCCAGCCATTTTGGCTTTCTAGATCTAGGATTTTGCGGTTTCAAGGCTTGCTTGTTTGAGGATCTGGAGGTTGCAACTTGGGAAGCTTGACCTTTGCTTTGTGATGGTTGTTCTTTCCAGGTTGGTGGTCTCATCTGCAAGGTGAAGCCATTCACACCTTCCCCCCTCTAGCTTCCCCAAGGTGGTGTTGTTGCTTGGATGGTTGTCGGATCGTGAAGAGGTGAGTCATCTCCGGTGGCTGCGGTGGAAGTCGGTTCTTTTGTGGTGGTCTGTGGATCTCTTGGAAGCTTGCTCCCCTTTGAACCGATCCTCTCTACCTTGGCCCTCTCTGCCTTCACAGCTTGGAGCAATCTGCTTCACAGCCTCTTCCACCGTCAGGCAATCTCTTTTGAGATTCACTATGATGGATGACTTTGTGCACTCCCTAGGAGACGACAAATGGCTTGCAAGTCCAATGCCATGGATCTCGCTGTGATCGGACAAGCTGTTCTGATCTTCTTGCTCTTGGTTTGGTTGGAAGATAGAGGGATTATTAATGCTCTGCTTTTGTCTCAAGAACTTGGCTGTTTGTTTTGGGTGATGTCATTCTGTGCTGTGCTTTCACTGGTTGTATTTTCTTAGCATGGTTTGGTATCATCCTGGGTTCCATTGTTTCCTTGATCTTGTTTTGAAGTCAAGTTTTTATTTTCTCTCTGTAACCAATTATTCAAAGTGCAATAAAGATCCCTTTGTAAAAAAAAAAGATGTTGTTAATTGTCCTTACTGTATCATCATCCTATAACACTTTTCCAATGTATGAGTACACATTATTTATAATCTTTCTTTCGTTATATTCCATTATCTTTTCCTATGAAGTTAGAGAAACTTCCCCAAGACCAATTTTTCAAACTAATCAACGGGATTAGTTCTTACTTCATACAAAACATTTTACGATTAAATGTAAAGAGTTTCAAGTAAATCAAATAATATTATACAATGTGTATAAAAAAGTATGAAACGGTAATTCTAGTTATAGTATCGATGAACAACAATGTTGTTCTTGCTACATACAAAGAGTTACCGGAATCAAGTTTTCCTAATTATGCGTGATGTAGAATACAAAGATCGGAATAAACCATGTGTATTAGCGTAGAAAATCATGCACTACCAGCATATGAGCACCCAACGATTGTGATATTGGGTCTCATGTAATTGAAGTTATTGTTGAATGCTTTAGGTCAACATATATATTGAGAGATTATATGATATACGTAATGCATTATATTTGTACCAAAATGAAACAACAAAAACAAAAAAAATACCATAAAACTGCACAATACATCTCCAGTCCAGGTTCCAAGTCTAATAGTTAGTTGCCATCAACCAGAAATGGGAAGTCGGCAAATTGAGCATATATTCTCCATTCATGTCGTAACCAGAAGGTTAGCAGTCGATCATCACCGTGTTGAATGATAAACCGTACGATTATACGAGATCCGGAGGGCTACCACTATCAGTTCTATACTTGCTAGCGTAACATGTGATGTGATATGATATCCCTAGTTGCTAGCCAATGTAGTTGTACGAGATTGAAACCAGTAACGGAGTGGACAACTTTCTCCTTACGTTACGCGGATAGGAAATGGACGGGATGTGGAGTCCTCTGTCTTGCGCATCAGCAGAACGAGGGAATAAAGGGTTTTCTTTCTTGGGAGTGGAAAAAACAAAAAGGAAGGAAGAGACAACCTGTTGACGAGATATTCTCTGCAACTAAAGAAGCAAAATGCAGAATGAGTTGTTGTTCTCCCCTGCCTTCTATCTAAAGCTGAGCAGAAACCACAAGAAACAGAATCGATGCGCTCTCAACTATCTTGGTTCGCTCTCACCATCTCTGGTTCCATGCCAATTGCCATGCACATTATGGTGGTAGAGAATCTTAACTTTCACGTCCATGTACATCCCTCCACTCGATCTGTCACCACCTTATCGTCGAATCTTTCTTCCACATCTCTGGTTCCATGCTTGCAACTTTCTGTCTTCGGAAAAAAGATTGATGCTTTCCCTCGATTAATTGATGGCTGTCATTGCCCGTCCAAATTGACATTCCAATTCAATGTCGACCCCCCTGTTTTCTCAAACAGTAGTATAAGAGAAAGGCAAAGCACTCTAACCCACACCAAACAGAGAATGGGAACAGGGTGGTCGCAGGATGACGAGGCGGCCGCCGCAGCTTCACAGCTGCAGCAGCCAACCCACCAATCCACTGCGGACAGAGGTCAGCTGCCGCGACAGCACTCTGTTCAGAAACAGAGTGAAGAGAAACAGAGTCAAGGAAGACAGAGTGAGAATAAATCCAACACAGCTGAAAGAGTTGGAGATGGCAAGTTCCAGGAGGCCAGGAACAGGACACCAGCGGCAACGCAAGCAACACAACCCATCATGGGCGGGGGTCAGCTGCAGCGGCAGCACTCTCAGAAACAGAGTCAAGGAAATCAGAGTGAAGCAAAACAGAGCGAGAACATATCCAACATGGTTGAAAGATCTGGAGATGGCAAGTTGGGGGAGGCCAAGAATAGGGCATCTGCAGCAACACAAGTGAAGCTTCCACATAACTGGGAAGCTATATTGCGAGAAGCAGATACCCCAATTGAGCGTTCCCCTGATAGGCAGTGCAATCAACTCTTCTCTGGAGTTTTCTTGAACAAAAAGAGCAAGGCAAGCTGATAATTTCCCATTTTAACAATTTTCCTCACTATCAGCACTTGTTTTTTCTTCTCTTTTTGGCCGACTGATGTTGAGCACCAACTGCAGAAGTACTGGGTTGACAGGAACTCCAACAGCAACTGTTTCACTCTGTTTGCTAGAGATCTCCTGATCACCTGGGCTGACGACCCACGTTACTGGCACTGGCCTTCTGTAACTGAGACCAGGTAAAATAGCAGGACTTTACTTTGATCCATCACGGTTCCGGTTTACCATATTGATTGAAGGATGCTTTTATTTTCATTTTCTATGTTGGTAGAGATGTTACGGTGGAAGCCGCAGAGCTTTTAGCAGTTTGCTGGCTGGAGGTTCATGGGAACTTTGACACAGCAAAGCTTTCTCCTGGGACTTTGTATGAAGTTATGTTTGTGATAATGCTGAAAGATCCGGCAGTAGGATGGGAAGTTCCAGTGAATTTCAGACTCACTCTACCAAATAGAGTCAAGCAAGAGCACAAAGAGAACCTAATAACGAAACCAAGATTGCAATGGATTGAAATCCCCGTTGGCGAGTTCAGAACTTCACCTGAAAATATTGGTGGGAATATGGAGATCTCTATGTTTGAATATGAAGGAGGAACCTGGAAGAAGGGGCTGATTCTCAAAGGAGTCACCATCCGACCAAAGTCCTCAACTACATTGCGATAGGGAGATGAGAGTTTCCAAAATAATGATACGTGGTTTCGGGTCGAAATTCAGGACAAGAAGATACAACACTCTGGAAAGAGGCTTATTTGCTGGCCAACAAACTTATTACTGAAACTATAAACAGTCATCAAACTTGTATTGCAAAACGAAATAAACACAGAAAGCTCAGGTCTAAAGGTACAACAAAGGGCAGCACCTGTTTTGCTGCTTCTATGGTTGGTTTGAATGGAGCATTTCAAAAATCTGTATGGTAATTTTCTGGCTTGAACCATGGCGAGAAATCAAAGCCTTTGCTTATGAGCTTTTCGGTCGGAGGTGCAATCCTCTCCAAAAGCTGCATTACGAAGAATAATAAGATCTTACAGTTCAAACAAATATGGCTAGAATTATAGACAAATGCTAGAGGGTGAACCTTTGAATGGAGTACCCCGTTGGATACCAAAACTGATCTATCAAAAACACAGAACTTGTTGCCATCCATGCATGTTACTGTTCCACCAGCCTCTTCAACCATCTGCTTGAAACAAAAGGAGATATCAGGCCAATGACCAACGACTAAATGACATGGTCATTCTGCTGGCCAGATATTGGCAAGCTCATCTGAAACCAAACCCAGTGGATTGACATTTGAAGGTCTTGACAAAAACTTTACCAGAACACCAGCAGCCATGTCCCATGGCTTTAGTCGATATTCCCAGTAAGCTTCCACAATACCTAGAGCTACATGGCACATATCAACTGCAGCAGCGCCAAGCCTTCTTACACCCTATTAACAAGACAAACAAAAAAAAGAAGCAACCATCAATTGGAGAAAACCAAACACTTACGGTAAAGAAAAAGAAAAAACAATCGAGATGCAGCAGGTAAGATAAAGCAATTACGGATATTACCCTGCTAACATCTGTAAACTCCTTGAATAATTCAATGTTAGTAGACCATGCATCGTCATGCTCGTACCCAAACCCAGTCACCAGAAGAGATCGTTCCACCTGAAACAATGGGAAAGAGGTCAAACAATTTGAATGAGAAGGTCTTAACATACTGAATTCTCCATACTTAATACATTTGGTGCGTCTACATTTTCATACTGCCTGCGTTACCATCCTTTGACAAGAGTTCCAGGAACAGAAAGAGCTATGAAGCACGAAGACATGTATTGTTTTCAAGTAGAAGATAAAATCCTTAGTGCGAAACTTATTGAGCATCTATCACTCCAGAAACCATATAACATTCGCCACATAATGTATTCCTAAGGCACAATCTCCTGTAGAAGATAAAATCCTTAGTGTGCAACTTATTGAGCTCCTGCCACTCACCGTGTCAGTTTGACTGGCATGAATTCTCTGACCATTACAAAAAGCTCCCCCACCTGAAGAGGTTAGAACAGTTTCAGCCTACACAAGGCACCTGTGGAAAAGAAATAATCAGGCCAATAAAATTTCTCACCTGCAGTTGCAGAGAAAGTACGAGTATTCCATGCCATAGGACCTCCAACAAACTCCACCTATAAGGAGAAACAAGAATGCCATTATGATTTCTTTATCTTGTACTCATACACTATGCCTTGTTTCCCCTTTTTTTGTCCCATGAGTTTTTCTGGTACGCAATTGAACCAAGTATCATATTGTTCTCCATCATAATCAAATAAGCCTTCTGAAGCTATTTCAGAGTTATAAACAATATTGTCAGAAACAACATCAATAAAGTTCTTATTGGAAGAATCTGTCGAGCATCACAGTTTAGACATTATTTCCCGGCTAGTATCTTATTCAGTACAAATGTCAACTCAATCTAATATGTAAAGGTCAGTACCACAGCAGCAGCAGCTGGCCTTCCTCGAAAGAGAACTCCTACGGATACTGCAAAGCTAGGATAACCGTGTGCAAAATTTGTTGTTCCATCTGCAGAAATGGAAAGGTGCATTGAGTTATAAGGCACGACCAACGCACTTTATTGATTTAATACACGTCGATAGGAACGAGCAAAATGGATGGATAGTACAAAATATTAGGCAGCAGAATATGAAAGGAAGATTGAAGATTGAATGTCAGCTACAAATTGATGCAATTTTGAAAGCCTTTAAACCTCCAACAAGATAAAAAGACGACATTTATTTCATCAGCAATATAAAATGAAAGATCAGATTTAAATTATTTGGTTGTTGTTCTGGAGTATGCAGCAATCCAGAATACTTTCACGGCCTGGAATTCCCTTGACAGAGAGAGGGATTATTGAAAACACTAGCATGGCAACACACGGCTGAGCGACTGGGAGAGAGAGGGCAGTCATAATCATGAAGTTGAAGGCAAGCAGAATATTGCCTGGTTTCGAGTAACTTGAATATTTAACGATTAACCAACCGATTATTACATGACATGGTCAAATGCATCAAATGATTAACCAACATTAACTTATCGGATTAGTATACAACGTATGTTCACAAATACTCACCTAGAGGATCAATGCACCAGAGGTAATCGGAATGGCTATCACCAATGACTCCTCCTTCTTCCCCGAGAATAAGGTGATCTCCGAAATTCTTGTTAACGACTTCCAATATAGCAGCCTCGCTCATTTGGTCTGTGCTGCGTAAGTAAATTTGCACATATGAAGTAAACCCGGTACAGTTACATTTCCGGGGTTCCTGAGATTCTAGAAATCCCCAGTGAAAGGGATTAAGCACTTAGCAGTATTACAAACAAGTAAAATATGCCAACTGCCTCACGCAAAAGCAAGGTATTCATTCAAGAATTGAACATTTTGTAACATAAATAAGCCTTTAGTGGGGTCCTTACTCGGTGACTAGGTCAGTAAGCCCTTTATAAGTGATATTCCGGGGCTTATTAACTGCTTCCATCACCACCTGGACACAGAAATGTAATTGAGCATGATGAATCCACAAATGGAGAAGGACAAGCAAACTTCATAACATCTCAATCAAACAAAACAATCAATCACACAAATCACAATAGGAAGGTTCAAAGGCGAACTCAATAGAGTGAGGGAAAAGGGTTGACCTCGGCTCCAGTCTTGGCGGCAGTCTCAACGACTTGAATGAGCTGGTTCAGCGGAATGGGTCCGGTAGATGAAGCTCCAATTTTCGGGTACCGGCTCTGGTAAGGAAGCTCCGATAGCACTGCCTTCGTTGTGGACAGATTTCGGGCCGGCTTGGCGTGAATGGAGGGAATTCTCGGGAACCCATTGTGAGAATTGCCCTCGAATGAGAAAGGAACGCATTGGTACGAGCGATTGTAGGAGGGTAATGAGCAACTGGGCGAGTGACAAGAAGATTTGAGAGAGATGTTTGCAGAGAAGAGAAGCGACCTTCCCATTGCGAATCCTGGACTCGAACGCCTAAAGGACGCAATCAGTTCGTGGATACAATCGGAAAGGGAATGATGGAGTTTGTGGCAGTGGCTCCCGGGGGGGGAGAGGAAGGAGACTTGTGATTTGTCAGTATGCTAGGTGAAGCAGTCGAGAGGAATATTCACTGGTTATGGTTTTGGCTTGGCTCATAAATGATAAATCAACTTTGGACTTTGGAGGGTCGGAAAATTGTTTTTTTTTTAATTAATTTTTTAATGCAGAACTGTAGGTAGAAATCAGTGTTGTTACTTGTTAGAAATTCAAACAATAGGGTAGTTGATTACGTAGTTAAGAAGGTCATCTTTTATTTTTGGGAAAAAAATTTAGAAGCACTATTTAAAAAAAATTAAACAAATACCATCCAAACTATAAAATTTCCAAAATTAGCACCATTAATCGAAAACCATACGCCAAAGGTGCGGTTTATGTAGAAATCGTGTTATGAGGCGACGGTTTATGCTAGCCGTCGGCCTGAGAACCACTCAGGGAAGGCACGTTTCTTGGAGCTGTCGGATCAGGGAGCGATCCAACGGCAGAACGAGCGCCAACGGAGCAATCCTTACTTAGACACTTTATAAAGAGATGCATGTCTAAGAAAATGGGATCTTAAGCGATTATCATGATCCTCCCATTTCCTGGGAAAATCGGGTTTTAAGCGATCCTCGAATCCCCCCTTTTTCTATCAAAAGAGTTGTGTCTCTAAGGAGATGTATACCTTTCCTAAGCGTCTAACGAGTGTTACATTGTATTCGATTAAATTATTGAAAACAACCAATAAGATTTACACAATAATGGCATGGATTTATGTGTATGTTTTCAAATATTTGAATATGTATCGCTTTAAATTATTATTAATTTAAAATGTTATTTATAATTAATTGAATATGTTTGTTTTACGAAATTATGTATATAACTTGGAAAAACCCTTGATTTTGTTTATTTAAATTATTTGTTATAATAGATTTATTATACCATAAACTTCTGGTGAGAGTTTAGTTTTTCGCTAGGATGCATACCATATAATTCGCTATAGGGGTACGACCAATATGATTGCATAAAACGATGGCATCTTGCCTCAACGATCCGCCTGGTAAACGAACATCTCTGCTTTGGAAACATTGTTGACGTTCAAAAATTCAACCATTGCATCTACTTCATCCTGAGTGGTTATGAGGAATTCCTCATGCCACAACGACCCGCCTTATCTGTTTGGATATCGATACATCATACAATCAACTCTTCTCGTGTCACTCATGCAAGTAACCTCAGTACACATTTGATGGAGCTCTCCAATCATCGGTCTCGTAGTGACCTTCATTTTATGAAAATTACCACCGATGTAATGTACCCCTTTTCGGTCTCTTCCGTGTAACTATTCCACCGTAACCCAAGCGTGAACTTTGGGCTTGCTATCTGCAATAAAACCGTAATTCAGTTAATACCATACAAATCACAACAAAAAGTAATACAAATAAACTTACAAAGTGACGTTAATCGCAAAAACTCTAAATAAGTAGGGTGCACAACAGACAATTGAAGAAGAATAAGGAGAGGAGATGGGTGAAAAGCTGAAGTTTCCTGGGTTGCCTTTTATATGCAAAATCATCACTGAAAACCTCAGGGGGAGGGGGCTGTTTTCATCCGCCATACAGTCAGGGGTGTACATGGGTCGGGTGGTCCGGGTTTAGCCATTATAATCACCGATCCATGCACTACGGTTTGGGAAATATTAAACCCAAACCCACCCAAAAAGATTAAAACCCTACGGTTTGTTTCTAATTGGGTTGGGTCGGGTTGGCGATATGTAACCATTCTACACCATAAAAATATTTTATAACTAATTAAAGTTTCAAACGAATAAACCTAGGTAAAAGCTATCAAAATTCACAAATGTTGTTTAAATTTTAATAAAATGTGATTTACTTCAACATATGTCTAGTTTTTTCACGACATTTGTTGAAATAGGATAAAAATGTTATAAACGAATGCATCCATAATAAGTTATTATATTAATATTGTACACAAGAAAAATGATTACGTGAATCATAAATATATTAAATCTATTTCTAAACTTTAAGCCAGAGGATGCATTAGATTAGAGAGACCATGAGAGAAAAACATGGCGAAATATCTTAATTTTCTCATAAGTACTATATACGACATAATAGTTATTTATATTTAGTACCTTATTTTTGTTTACATTCGAGTCCTAAAAATATCGATGGAAAATTACATTTGAGTTATTGAAAATTTTCCCTTACATTTTGGCACGTTAACCTTTTCAAATTTACAAACATGTCAACTACTTGTGGCATTCTTTATAAACTTGTGGCATGCTTTGTGGACTTGTGCCATGTTTTGTGGACTTGTGGCATGCTTTGTGGTTGTGGCACATGCTTTGTGAAGGTTGTAGCATGCTTTGAGGTTGTGACATGCTTGAAGTGAGTTGTGGCATGGTTCATGGTCCCCTTCCTTCCTTCCTTCCTCCCCTTCCCCAATTTTTCATAATAACAAGTGTCGCAACTGCCCCCTCAAAATCGAAGAATCCGTCGCGTCACGCTCTGAGTCGGCATCTATCTTATTTATAGTAGATCGAAGGACTTTTTCCAGAAATACCACCATAAAAAAATTCAATTTCAAAAATACCACCCTTTTCAAAAAGTTTCCAAAAATACCACTCTTTTTCACAAACCGCAGGGTGAGGGTAGAGTTTGCACAAGAACCGCCGGATGTAGCAGCGGTTTTCCAGAAAACCGCCGAGAATGGCAGCGTTTCAATACTTTTGATGATAACCGCAGCGGAAAGCTGCGTTTCACATTATAACCGCTGCCTCCCTGGGCGGTTTACAAATCACTTCCATTAAATAGTCTTTTACCCCAATGCATGCCCTCTACAACAAACCCCCTTCCATTAAATACTATAATTCTTCCATGCATGTGCAATAGAATGCATGCAATTGTACTAATTAATTAATTCTTCCATTAAATACTAATCACTTCGATTATATATATATATAAAAGTACTAATTAATTAATATTAATAATTGTATTAATTAATAATAATTTTATTATTATTATGTAATATGTATGCAATTTAGTATGAATGCATAATTAAAGTAAGGATTCAAATACTGTACCGTATCGTAACGACAGTTCAACCAGAAAAATCTTCTACCGGAGGCTAAATTGGTAGATGGTATTTAATGGTATGAAGCGGTTGAACCATGGCTAAACAATGATTTTAGCATAAAATACCCTACCACTAAGTTATCCGGTACAACCCCGGTATGATATTTCAATCCTCGAATTAAACAATAATAGTTTGGCTGATACCGTTAAATACCACCTACAGATTTAGCTTCTGGTAGAAAAAATTTCTTGTTGAACCGCCGTTACGATATGGTATTTCAATCATTAGTTTAATTACGTATTCGGACTAAATTCCATACATAATTACATTATAATAATACAATTGTTATATACATTATAATTAATTAATTAGTACTAATATATATGATAATTAGCGTGGTAGAGGGCATGCATTGTGTTGGACGTGCATGGAAGAATTATAGTATTTAATGGAAGTGGTTGGTTGTAGAGGGTATGCATTGGGGTAAAAGACTATTTAATGGAAGTGATTTGTAAACCGCCCAGGGGGGCGGCGGTTATAATGTGAAACGCAGCTCCCCCCTGCGTTTATCACCAAAAGTATTGAAAGGCTGCAAAACTCGGCGGTTTTGTGGAAAACCGCTGCTACATCCGGCGGTTCTTGTGCAAACCGTGCCCTCACCTTGCGATTTGTGAAAAAAGAGTGGTATTTTTAGAATTTTTTTTGAAAAGGGTGGTATTTTTGGAATTTTTTTTATTGTGGTATTTCTGGAAAAATTCCTAGATCGAACACTAATTTACCCGATCTCAATCTTAGGGTCAAAATCGGGATTTGGTCTACGAAATTTTAGAGATTTGAGTTCGGGAGTACGGTTATGTGTAGGGAAGTGTATTCACACCCCACAACGCCCAAAATGGGTACTACCTAAATCGATAAGTTTTAAAGGAGTTGGGTGTATAATTATTATTATTTTAATTTACGTATTTAATGATAAGATTCAATTAATTATGTATTTACGTCTATTGACGTAAATCTTAAAAGTAAAGAAAATATTTTTGATTAGTTGGACTCGAACCTATTGGTTGCCTACGTACCCGAGTAGTCGGGATCAAAGTCCACGTAGTTCGTTTAAGTTGAGTGTGACTTGAAGGGAGGAAACCCAACACGTTCTATTGATCGTGTTTGAGATTGAATTTTTTATTAGGAGAAGTGTTTTGATTTAGTAATTATGTTTGACTTAAGAAACCATCGGGGTCTATTGATCATGATTTTGTGATAAAAGTAATTTAGGAAAAATATTTATTTGGACAAAGAAAAAAATCAATAACCTTACAATGATTGAATATTCGATACCCTTTGGGTATAAGAGTAATCGAATTAATCCCATACTAAAGATATGATCAAGTTTTACTTTTTATGTATTAAGTATGTTTAACATTTAAAAAGTAAAGACATTGCTAGTTATGCAAATGGTAGGCGATCAGCCTAGTGGTTTAGTGTGTTGATGAGAGCTTGAAGTGGATTGAGGGTTGTTGGTTCGAACATGTGGAAAGTGGAAACATTAAATTTTTTTTGCTTTGTTTCTCAGCAGATTGTGGCAACGGGTAATTTTTTGTGAAAGATGGAGGGTATATAAACATCTCTTAAGACCCAAAGGCCTTACCCTAGCACTATAATCCGACCGCTTCTCTTCCTCAATCTCCCCCTCTTCTCTCTGGAAAACGGAACAAAGGAAAGAACAAAAGATACAAATTTGTCTCCCTCATCTTTCTCAAACCTGACGAACATCAAAGAAAATGAACCTTTCTGTAACACCCCGACTTTGAGTTCAGGTTCAACCAGTTCAGGTTCCACCTTAATACGTGATTGGTTGGGTTGACGATTACGTACCAAGAGTTACAACCGCGAATTAAGTATAATAATAATTACTATTATTATTATTACTTTATTTAAAAAAAAAATTTAACGTGGGGCGGCCCTAGGGGCCGAGCCTCCACAAATCAAACCCTACCCACCTTTATTTCCCCAGCGCCACCCATCATCAAATCCCCCCACCACGTTCTCTATCTCTCGGCAAGAAACCAAAAACTGCCGCCAATTGACAAATCAGGAGAAGGGACGAGTAGCTATTGAAAGAGCTAGAATATTATAGGCGGCAGCTCGGAGATGGAAGAAACAGTGACAACCAACAGAATATGAATCGTACGCCAAAGGGACGAATGGTTTGGACAAGAGCTTTAGCAAAGCTCATGACCAGAAAACTTTTGACCTGTCGAAGATGATAAGGGACAGCCAGGGAGGAGGTAATGATAATCAAGAACCAGAAGGAAGAAGCTTGGTTTGTTAAACTCGCATAGGCGCTCTTCTTCGTCAATTTGCGTTCTTTGGATCCCTGTTTGTCATATCTTTGAGGGAAGTTGACCCCTTCGGATTGGCAGTGTGAGGTGAACTTCAGCTCAGAGAGCTTCCCAAATGGAATTGGTTTGGGTGGAAAGCGATGGGAGGAAGAGAGGCGCGTTGGCTAGTTCGGCATCACCGACGTGTTAGAGCTCCGTCGACGGCCCCGGCGTAGCAGACTTCGACCACTCGTCAAGTGGTGGGTATCATCTCGTAGAGGCCAATTCCAGGATCGTCACCGTGTCGACGAAATTGAATTCCGACGTCGGACGAGGGAGAACCGAGCCTCCCAAGTTTGAGCAAGAATCTGCCGAGTACAGGTACCATTCGTGGAAATTCAAAAAGTTAGAGGATTAAGTCTGTAAGTTTCCAGAGAGGTCCTGGTCAACGGTGTTGACTGGAAAAATTGCAATTTCGGTACCTGGAACTTTGAAAAACTGACAGAATGTTTATTTTGGTCATAACTCGATCAATTGACGTCCGAACGAGGAATAGTCAGCGCCTATTGAATCGTGATAACGAGGAGAATTTGATTGGAGCAAGTATGAAAATTTTAGAGCAGATTCAGAGTTGGTTTCGACGGATATAAGGTGAGTGTAAAGGGGGTAAATTCTACGCCTTACGTAATCCTTTAAGCATTATGATTTTAAGTATTTTAGCGAATTGGTTACCGTTGTTTGATTATGTGTGTGATTGATTATTTGTGCCTTGCCTGAGCTATGATTTGAGGTGATTTTGTGCCATTTACTTTAAAGCGTGATGTTATAAGTTATCGTTAAGTTAAGAGTCAAGTTCTTTTTAAAGAAGTAACTCACCTTCAAGAAGGTGAAGTCATTTTAAGTGTTTTTAGTCGCTAGCGCCAGGCCGTTGCCTTTTGAGACCTTTTGAGATAGAGCAGCAGTTATGCTCTTGAGACTTTTAAGATGGGCAGCAGTTATGCCCTTGAGAATCGTGGTGAAGAGCCACCACGATAAGTTTAAGATGTTAGGGGGATGAATCGTTACGACTTCCCTAACTAAGTTTAAGGAAAGCCTTTATGGCTTCTCATACGTATGAGTTGGCAACCAGACTAGCTAGTGGGGAATCCCAGTGTCAGTCAAATATTTAAGTTGAGATTTAAGCTTTAAGAGTGGAGAGTAACAGTTACTCCCATACAGTTTTATCAGTTAAGATTTTTAAGATTGGAAGTACAAACAACTTTCACTAGTCAAAGTTAAGTGTTTAAGTAAAGTACTCAAGTATTAGAAGTATTAAAACGTAAGGGCGTAGACTGACCCCATCTCACTCACCAGTTTGAGGAGCTAGAGGAGCAGTTAGTGAGCAGCTGGTTCGAGGGTAGCCAGCTAGAGGAGAGCAGTATAAGCGTCACGGAGGATGCTTAGTCAAGTTTTTCAGTAGCAACTGCTTCAGAGTTTATTAGTTAATTACATTTATGGTTATGAGTACAGACTGGAGATTATTTTGAGATCAGATTGAGATTTTAAAGTTTGAGTTTAATTTGCCCACGTGTTAGGGCTTTGCCTTGAACTTCAAGTGTGTTTTCAGTATTTTATTTATGAAAATTATTTTCCCGCTGCAATTTAAGATTTGAGTAATTTACTTGTCAATGGCATTTTAGTAAAAGTAGTACCCGGCCGGGTTAGGGTGTTTCATTTTGGTATCAGAGCCTGTCTTCTTCTGTTCCTTGGTCTCTAAGGAATACTGGAATATCAGTCTCAGTTTTAAAGGTTTTTGTTTTAAGGGAAGGAAAGCGAGTCATGATTTCTTTTAAGAGTTTATAGAATCTCCAGTCTACTCTAATCGTATTAAGGTGAATAACTATGACAACACGACACTACGAGAAGGTAGCACGAGGGTGCAATTGGTTTAAGAATAAGCTAGGACGCGGGTTAAGTTAACTCGTCGTGGGACGCCAAATAAGAGATTAAGGCGTATGACGATCATCAGTATGAGAGGAAGGAAGCAAGAAATGTGGCCAACTCTATTAGAATCTCAAGATACGAGGAAGAGAAAGGAGGAACGTTTTAAGAAGGCCTATGGGGGTATAATCAAA